AAAAGGGCCGTTTGAAATTTTATAATGCGCTGAATGGGGGTGAGTTACGAAAAAAGTTGATAAGGAAAAATTTTAGGAAATGTAATCTTATAAAACTTTTATTGAGAAAATTTTTTTTTAAAAAAATAAATAAACTTTAAACTACCCCTATTGAAAAACGGCAGGGGGTGAGTAAAAACTTCATAAAGCAAAAATGTTGTATGTGTTGTAGAAAAATTTTTCACGTCGGTTAAAATTTTTCATTTTCATTATAAAATTTCAAACGGCCCTTATGACCACAGATGGCCCTTAATAAAAAAATTCTTTAGATAAACATTGTAGATAAAATAATGTTGCACATCTTTTATTTGAAACATTTTTTTGTAAAATCAATAGGTACCAAGTAATCGCCAATGGTGCACTTTCAACCCCTATAGCGCAAAACGCCAGAGGGGTGAATGTTTGATATTTTCGGTTTTATGATCATCCACCCGCCCCCTATCATTCCTGAAAAGTTCATTTGGGTAGGAATTTTTTTTTGGAAATGCGACTATTTTCTTAGACTATCGTGCGAATTCGGCAGAAAACATGCGATTGCGATTGATCCGAAAAAAATGGGATTTTTCGATAGAGAGTTATTGGAACTAATAAATACTGCCTCGCAGTATTAAGGATCTACGTTATTTTATTAGTGCATCAGCACTATTTCTCCAAGAAAAAAACAGTTATTGGAAGACTGTAGTAGGTGCTAGAGTGTTACCTTATTTTGTATTCATAATTTTGACAGATGATAGCTATGTTTATTAATTTCAGCCTCAAAAAGTGTTTATTTTTGTTTGTGATTTTCTGCTGATACTTATTTTTTGATGTTACCCACAGTAAAATGGAAAACTATTGTAAAATAGTACATTAAAATACAAGTTTCATAAGACGTCATTTTATCGCACGAGCCCTATATTAGAAAACGAGCCGGAGGCGAGTTTTCTAAAGGGCGAGTGCGATAAAATGTCTTATGAAACGAATATTTTATACTATTTTTTCTATTTTGGTATTGTTTAATTTAAAAAAAAAACTTTTCTTGGAAATTTTATTCTCATATTTCCTGATTTCATATGCTAAGGTTGGTAACACTACATGCCAAATATAGAAATCTTCTATTTTTTTATCGTGAATGACAGTTCGATGGCCATCAATCAGCCAGTGTTACCAACCTCCGATAAGTAAAAAAGGAGTGTCACAAAGAGCTTCTTTTCGAAACTACTTTTAGTGTCGAAAAGACTCCGATATGACACCAAAATAGAAAAAATAAATTTTCCATGTAAATTAACGTCATCGCCGAAAAGCAAAACGTCAAAGTCGTCCAAAATGTCAGAAATTTGAAATAAGGGAAATTTACTGTCCCACACTAACCATACACAAATAAAGACAAGCAGTAACCTTAGAGAGATTTTGAGCCACCTATTTGATCAACGTTATACGTTATCGGTTATTTTGCTCATGCGCAATAGTGAAAAAATAACCGGCCCGCTTAATAAGCGGTAACGTACTACGCTAATAGAGAGATTTTAAGCCACATAAATTTTGAAATACGTTATACGCTAAACGCTAAACTGAGCAAGCGCAGTCTTTGAAAAATAGCGGAAGACATTTTTAGCCTTTTTAGTTTTTGAAGCCAAAACTTGTGAAGGACGTTATACGCTAAACGTTAATTAGGCAGTTCGAATCAGCTGATAATTCGAGATGGCGATGCCGCACAAATGTAAACAAACCATTGAGGTTAAACATGCCTCCATATAAACACAGACAGATATAAATGTGTGTTATTTCACTTATTTCTACCTGTTCCAAAGTTTAATTTGATGAATTTTAATTTATTTCAATTTCCTTTATGTTCCTAGTTACTTGGAATATTTATCTATCAATAAAATACCTGGACATCAGGTACAAAACGGACCCCAAGAAGCTGTGCCCTAAGTAGGTAGAAAGGCCTAAATATAAGTTACATCAAGATGATTTTCTTCACCTCCGATCAGTTTTTTGTGTGCTCCAGAACTGTTAGCAGTCTGAAACAAATAGTTCATAAATATTTTTTGATTTTTGATTTGCATTTATTTGTGTTTTTTTTTGTGTGCACTAATTGTGTACTGCACTCCATGGAAAACATTGAAAATATAATAGGACTAGGACGTCGAAATGCCCAAGGGCTAATAGACCACGACTTAATAAGAGGCGCTATTCTCCATGATATTTTTGATCCACCTATTTTGGTACCCCCAAGGCCTGTCTTTAACTTTGATGAAATCGATGCGAGGGACGTAGAACTTAACTTCAGATTTAAAAAGGAAGATATTCCAAGATTAGTTCAAGCTTTAGTAATACCTAACATGTTTACAACTCGATCAGGGCATGTTTCGACTGGTAAGAACATACCAAGAACAGAACTGTGAACATATTTTGTTATTATTTATTTTTTTAATTTTCAGGTATTGAAGGAATGTGTATCCTGTTGCGTCGTTTGGCATATCCGAATCGTTTGTGTGACCTGGCATATGTATTTCATCGCTCTACAGCAGCCCAGAGATAAGCAATTTTATAAACAACCACATTTATAATAATTTTAGGCATCTATTGGAGGACTTGAATAATTTGAACTGGCTTAACCAAGACCGTCTACAACGTTATTCTGAAGTAAGTAATTGCATTTGAGGCTAATTAATATAATAGGCACCTATATCATTTTTTTCTAGGCTATAACAGCAAAAGGTGCAGCAGTACAAAACTGCTGGGGATTTATAGACGGCACTGCCAGGGCAACATGTCGTCCCACAGAAGATCAAGAAAATTATTATTCAGGTCACAAACATTTTCACTGTGTGAAGTATCAGTCAGTGGTTACTCCAGATGGGCTGACTGTTAGTGAAATTGGGGCTTTTCCAGGGCGGCGCCACGATGCTGGTATATTTAGAGAATCAGGATTGTACAATCAATTAGAACAAAAAACAAGATTTCCTGACGGAGTAGTCTTTGTTCTTTTCGGAGACCAGGCCTATGGCATACGGGAGCTTCTGTTGTGTCCATTTCCTGGGAATGGTGTAAATGAGGCGCAAAGGAATTTCAATGCATCCATGTCTGTTGTGAGACAGGCAGTAGAGTGGAGTTTCCAGAAGGTCATAACATTGTTTGCTTTTTTGGATTTTAAAAAAAATCAAAAACTTATGCTTCAGGATGTACAAGAAATGTATAAAACTGCTACTATTTTAACTAATTGTTACTCTTGTCTATATGGTAATCAGACCTCGCAGTTTTTTAATGTAAATCCTCCTACTGTAGAACAATATCTTAATTTTAACAATTAGGCATTTGATTGAATTTGTAGTGCATCAATATAAATATAGTTAAGCAAGACACAGTATTTTATTTAATTTCATGCTCCTGCTCCAATGAATACAGTTTTGCCGTATATTTTTGCATCCTACCTGAACCAATTAATTAAATAGGTAGGTATCAGAATAGTTATTTTTGTCACAAGTACCTAAAATGAAGTTTCTCAGGACGAATCATTGCTGTTTCCGGACGAGGCGTTAGCCAAGTCCGGAATAGCAGATGAGTCCTGAAAAACTTTGTTTAGGTACGTGTGACAAAAACTATTTTTTGTCATACGCTTTTTAGAATTTTTCAGAACACTAAAATTTATAAATTTTCCTTAATTTTTGAAATCATAAAGGTGCATCCCGAAAGAAAAAAAAACCTAAAAAGAAGCCTTTTATGGACTTGAATGAGTCCGTAAAATAACTGTCTCTGGGATCCTATGACAAAAAAAATTTTTGTATTTTTATTCTCAAATTTTGATAGAAGAATACAAGAAACATTCAGCAGAAAAAAACAATAATAGCAATTAATTTTTAATTTTCAAACTATTATTGTACCATCACTTCATCATTCATGCAAAACTAACTCTTTTTTATTTGGTAGTATTTTTGTGTATTTTTTATTTTTTTTTCACTTTACATAAAATGTTTTTACACATTACTCATACCAATTTCAACAAGTTTTGACAGATACCTATAAGAAATATAACCAAATATAATTATGTTATATGCATCAAATTTTATTTAAATTAGCTCAATTGTAAACAAAATAATTATCCTGTCTTATGCCCGTATTACATCTGTGTATTTTTCCGTGTATCTATTCATGTAGTTCAGGGTGACAAGCGAAAAACTTCAAACGCAACATAAATCAGCATTATGAAAAACAAAATAATGTTGGCACCATGAACTACATGAATAAATACACGGAAAAATACACAGATGTAATACGGGCATTATTAACTTATCTTGTATATACATATTATAGTATAGAAAGGGTATAAAAAAATTGTGTACCAAACAAGGAGAGATACTACATATGAAATTTAAAAAATCTCTCATGAACATATGCCCTAACTCGCGCCCTAAGATACTGCCGGTTACAGCCCTTCAATCAATAAATAAAAACAATAGATTTTATTTTTTTCAAGAACAGTGGCAAACTATTTTCCTTGAAATATTCTCACTTGGCATAAAAATATATGCCAAAGCGAATAGTGATAGTAAAAATTGCAGCAACAGTTCTCAAAGGGTAGTTTCCATAAGGGTGGAGGGTAGTTACTCACAAAACAAGAAAGCATTCTAGGGCATCTGTTCTCAAAAACTTTTTTCTAGTTTTCATATGTAGTATCACCTTTCGAAGTCCGGTACACTATTTTTTTTACACCCAGTATACATATACATAATATTTTTATTTAAATTAGCATAATTACAAGCAAAATCATTAACCTATCTTATTAATTAACTTATCTTGTATACATATAAAAATGTTATTTGTGGAGATGAAGCCAGTGATAAAAAGAAAACGACTCTTTTATCTAATAAAAGCTTTCCCAATTATTAGTTTATCGCTTCATTAGGTAAAGGAGTCGTTTTCTTTTTATCACTGGCTTCATCCCCACGAATCATAACATTTTTATATAAAAATTTAAGCCACAATACTACCTAACATAAATATAAATATATCATAACAGGTAACAGATCTTCAAAAAAAAACACAAAGATTGCTATGGTTTTTCAAACACTGTGCTGTAGTGGATGATTTCTATTGGAACCTATTTGATGTGTAGGATTGACTAGGCAACCTAAATCAAAACTGGGGTTTTGCAGAGAATGCCATGTGCAGCTTTATTTTTAGTTATAATTTGCAATAAAAGTCTTAAAACAAACCCCACATTTTACCGAGAATCACATTTCAAATTGACAGACTCTGTTCCAAGTTAATTTCATTTAGAATAAGACATTACAACAAGCAATCTTTGATTGTTTTTTTTTGCAGACCTGTCATTTTTATTTAAATTAACTCACTTCTAAGCAAAATAATTAACCAATCTTATTTATTAGTAAATTAATTAATTTATCTTGCCTTTCAGCCATAGCTAACAAGTTTTGCTGATTTTGGGATTCCAAATTATTTTTTTTTTCAATTAATTCAAATTGTTTTTTGATTTGAAACTCTGTTAAATCATGTTGTTTTTCCAATAAGTCCATCATTCTTTCCTCCACTTTTAGTTTTCGCTCCTCTAGTTCCAATTGTTTTTTTTTTATGTCACTTTGCTGCTTATCGTAGTTTTCTAGGTACGCTAACCCTTGCCTTTGGGTATTAGCTTTCCTTTTCCTACTTCTTACTGGACCTGTAACAAAAACAACATATTTAGGATATGAAATAACATCAATAGTATTAAGTGATAGTCATAGTTAAATGGCGGAAAAAATGCATCGAAAATGTTTTAAAAATGTGCATTTTAATGCATGCTATTTCTATTAAAAATGCAAGATTTTTTCCAAATTATAATTATTCGGCCCTTTTAATCAGGTACCTAGTACTTATATGTACAGTGTGGTCATTTTATCTTGATAGCATTTCAACCTGTCATAATTTATTTAGTTTTGAAGTTATTAAAATAAATGAAAAAACATACTGTAGAGTTAGTTTCCAAGTTTTAAATAGGGTGGATAAAAAACAAAAGACTAATATATTTTGACAGTTATGGACACAAATAACATTTTTTTCAATGGAACACCCGGTAAATTTTTGAATTGTTTGATATGTTTCATTCTGATTGCAATATATACAATACAATATACTTGAATACAATTTACTCTAAATTTAATGCAGAAGTGTTTTATGTATTCTAATGGAAAATTCTGCTTACCTACATACCTTTGCAGGTAATCTGTGTAGGTAATTAGTAAACAATATTTTCAGAATAGATGAAACATTTCTGCATGTAAATATAAAGTAACTTGTCTTTAATTGCATTGTATTGTATATATTGGAATCAGAATGAAACATATTATCAAACAAACTAAAAATTTCCTGGGTGTTTTATTTAAAAAAATGCTATGTGTGTGCATAACTGTCAAAATATATTAGTCTGTTGTTTTTTGTCCACCCTATCTGAAACTTGAAAACCAACCCTACAGTATGTTTTTTTATTCATTTAAATAACTTTAAAAATAAAGAAATTATGACAGTTTAAAATGTTATCAAGATAAAATGACCACACTGTACAGTAATGGGGTACCTGTGCCAAAAATGGGTTCAAATTTCAAAGGAAGAACTAATAAATTGATAGTCTGCTTCAATAAATCTAACAAAAGAGGCAAGATAATGCAGAAAGCCATTAAAAATATGCAAATTTTTCGAAAATGGTCAAAATATCCAGAATTTGCATTAAAATGAAACTTGCATTCTATCTGCCCTTTAGTGATAGTTATTTTAATGAAGCAAGATTTCTACAATAACAATGATAAAAATTACATACCCAAAATTTTCGCAGGTTTTGAACTTGATGTTGAAGGCTTAATCTCGGGATTGCTAGCTACTGTGTTATCTGTCTGATGGGATGTCTGTGGATCCAATACATTTACTTTGTGGGTTGATAGGTAAGCTGATGATGTAGAGGCTTCATTCATTATCGGTTCAGTATTTTCTAAGATGAAACAGAATGTAATTATATAACTAGCAAACTGTGTTTTTTTTTGCCAAAATTATCTGGCTGGGTCCTGGATACAATAAGGGCTAAAATAGATGGACTAATCTAGCGGCACAGAGTAATAACACTAAGGAGTACATAAAAGCCACTTTATAGCTCTTAAGTCACAGTGCCACAGCCATTAATTTTAATTTGTGTCAAGCAAATCAATAAGTTCAACTATTTCATTTTTTTTAAAAACAAAAATTCAAAAATGTAGAATTCTTACCAATGCATTCAGTAGTATCTTGCATGCTCAAGTCAACTTCGTCCACAAACTCTATCCTCACATCATCAGATAATATATCCTCCACAGGAATTGTCAGACCTAAAAAAAAAAAAAAAAATTATATGGTTTTCAGGCACAATTAGGTCTTGCAAAAGTTTTGAAAATATTTTTATCTCAAGGTTTAAATCATGGTCAAAGATATGGGTACTTGTCACACAAAACCCCTTGACAAAAAGTTGAACAATAAACATGAACAATATAACTATATATTTTTAAACTTACTGCCATGATCATGAATGAGGGATTCTGAGCCTATATTCTCCGTCTTCACTGATGATCCCGAAGCCTCCAACAGTTGGGTCCATTGGTTTCGAGCATCAATACCAATAGTTTTAGATGCACTAACTGAGGTTTTCTTCTTTTTGGAATCTTTGAATTCCTTCATCAAGTCGTAAATATTACTACATAAAGTATCCTTCTCTGTAGAGACTACTTCTATTCCTGACCTATAATTACATTATACTTTAGATTGAAATAAATATACTCTTACCTAATAAGAGGAAGAAGTACTAGGTATATTTTCAGAATATTGTTATATTTTAAGTGGGTGAGTACACTTACTTGTCTTTTAAGATTTTAAACATTTCCAGCCACAGTTTTATCAACCTCTCCAAATGTTCCCTCAATGTTCTAATGACAAATGTTTTTCCAGTTAAACTGGAAACATTCTCTTGAATAACATGCCATAACGCAGGATTCTCAAATGGATTATGAGATAATACTTCCCGCAACAGCACCAAATCGTCATGGTCAGTAAAGCGTTGACGTTTTCTCAGAGCGTCCATGGTGAAAAGTTTAGAAAGGCTTGGAAAAATAACACTGAAACTGTACAAGAAGCGACTTCAAAGAAGTTATATTGCAAACTGAACCAACAAAATTTAAATTGGCACCATCTCAGGCAAAAAAAATACCTAGAGTACCTTTTTCTTCTGACACAGCATCATAAAATCGTCTTGGGTTCCCCAAGGTATGGTTAAAGGGTGTATTTTGTCTATACTCGGGTCGTCACGTCGGGGTACCTGTGGTACCGTATTCAGGTGTTTTTCTTGGGCTTAGCTAACAATGGTTACTTTTCAACTTTTTCTCTGAATTAAACCACACCAAAATATCAAAAAAACCGGAAACGTCTTTGGAAAAAGTTGTTTAGTTTTTTGTTCTTTGGTTATAGAGGTTAGGTTAGGTTATGCAAATGTCAACTTGCAGGGATATGTTGGCGTTGCCAATTTATGCAATTATAGAGGATAGGTTGTGAATTTTGAAGACCAAAATAGACTACGTAGAAAAAAATTTTGAAGAATTATTTGACGCATTATTTGTTATCCTCTTGGAACATTTTTATTTTTGTTTATTTCTCGTTTGAACCAAATAAGTATTACACTTGGCACCGATGTTAAAACGTTATCGGCTAATAACGTTCCGTTTATTTCCACATAATTAGCGTAGTACGTTACCGCTTATTAAGCGGACCGGTTATTTTTTCACTATTGCGCATGAGCAAAATAACCGATAACGTATAACGTTGATCAAATAGGTGGCTCAAAATCTCTCTAATGTGGAAATAAACGGAACGTTATTAACCGATAACGTTTCAGCATTTCGACGTCTTATTATATTTTCAATGTTATTCATGAAGTGCAGTACATAATTACACAAAACAAAACACAAATAAATACCCAACCATCCTAACATAAACAACAGACAACATAAAATTTGACGCTAGTTACACAAATTCAAATTCCTAACCACAAATTTTCATTAACGTTTAGCGTATAACGTCCTTCACAAGTTTTGGCTTCAAAAACTAAAAAAAGGCTAAATGTCATCCGCTATTTTTCAAAGACTGCGCTTGCTCAGTTTATCGTTTAGCGTGTAACGTATTTCAAAAATTTATGTGGCTCAAAATCTTTATTTTCGGACCCAAATGCGCATGTCAAAATAAGGCTAATTTAAATACTTGCTTGTCCTTATTGCACGTCCAATAACTCTCTAATGGCTAATATAGAAGGGAAAATTTGTCATCATGTGTCAAAGTCGACAGGTGCACTTATTAGCCGCTTTCCAGCTGACGCTTTTGAGCACGCAATTGAGTTTTTGCGCGCGCAAATGCTTCAAGCGCTTGTTCGTGTTCCAGCCATACTGCGCTTCGAGAGCTGCTAACTTTTGCGTTTCAAACACAGAACACCGTGCTGCACCGTGTTTGAAGCACACAGCTGGAAAGCGGCTATTGTTGCTTGACAATTATTTTTACTTTTCGGCACTCAGTGCGGATAAGGCCCGTATCCGCACTCTGTGCGGAAAAGTGTAACTTTGAGAACGGTAATGCGTGCGGAAAAGTACTACTTTGCGCACGCTCGTAGGAAAATGAATTTTCCCGCACGGTGCGGAAAAACTTTTACCGCACGCATATCAGTGCGGAAAAAGTTTTTCCGCACGGCTGTCAGTGCGGAATAGTATATTGTGCAACAAGTGTTGAAAATAGCACTTTTCACACACGTGGGGAAGTTTGGTGGCACGAGCCGCAGGCGAGTGGCACAAACCCCACGAGTGTGAAAAGTGCGTTTCACACGCGTTACACACTATACTTTTTCTACGACTGCGAAATAACTATAACTATATTCACATTGAGTTTATTTATTTATTTTTTTGTTGAAAAATTATTATTTGAAATAATAATCAACGAACAATTTTGGTACGTACGCTGAATGCACTCAGAGTTGCTTGTAGAACAAAAATTCAATGGAAGTGTCATTTTTATTTTAGCGTGCGAAAAGTACTTTTCGCACGGTCGGATCGTGTGAAAAGTACTTTTCGCACGCTGTGCGAAATAATCGATTTTCTAGGTAAGTTAGCAGTGCGTTTTTAATAGCTTTCTAGGCAGTCGTAGGAATAAAATTTTACCGCACGGCTGTCAAAAAAAAAAGAAAAATTCTACATTTTAACGCCTGTAGGAAAAATATTGCACCTAACACATGCAGAAAATAATTTTCCGCACTCGGCTGCTTCACCGAACTCCGCTACGCGTCGTTCGGTGAACGGCATGCGGCAGCTGCGTGCGGAAAAATTCATTTTCCGCACTTGTTAGGTAAATAGCTATTCTCGCGCCGAAAAGTTATGACATAAACCAGTTTTGGGAAATGGTCCATAAACCAGTTTTGGGAAATCTTTTTCGTTCAATTTACAAATCACGTGGCCTGTTAAACTTTCGGAGCAAATCGACGAATAAAATTACAAAAACGAACACGGCCAATGCTTCTAAACTTTGAGACGCGAGAAAAACACCTCAAGTACGCAAAGAAGCAAAAGCCAGCGAAATCATTCTTTTGAGGGGCTTGGGCGCCCTGGATCACGATTTTGATGTAAACAACCGTTTTTTTTTAATTCGGGGCGTCAAGCCCCGAGGTCGTCTATCTCCAAGGATGATACTACTACTACAGGATAGCCTATCCTCATGAACCTGTGTGGAACAAATCCTCCCCACGCCAAATCACGCGTTGTGACGTAGCAGCATGTTATTTCTCGCCTTGACGTAGGCTGTTTAAATAGCTGCCGACTTAGTTATGACGTCTAAAATGGTGACACACGGCGGCGATTACCAAAAACGAGGCCGATAAGCAATCCAAGGTGTGTTCGAACTGTCACTAGTGTCAGATAATTATAGCTATGTTCCGTTATCAACTGCCACTATATTTTACTGTGCTGCTTTTACTGTTATTTGCATTCCGATTTCAACAGCGTAGTGTTTTGGTGGAAAAAAAGGTACAGCAAGGAGATTCTAAAATCACGATTCGAAACACACGACTCGACAACGAGTCGCAACTCGATGCCGACCCTGTCATCTCGAAAGGTATGATTCCGATGAGATTCTAGCCTAGGATCGTTGGAAAAAATCGTCGCGTTTTCGAGTCATTTGTCGAATCGTGATCCTAGAAGCCCCGTCCAGTAAATAATAATGACGTCATTCGCGCATTCAAAACGTCATTCTGGACTGTATCAGTGTACTGAGAATAATACCGGAACTGCGTCCAGTAAATTCAGTACTGACAGTTGATATCGGAACATATATGTCCTATATTTCCATTGAACTAAACAAAACACTCGAGCACGGTGCAGCACACTGTTCTGTGTTTCAAACGCAAAAGTTAGCAGCTCTCGAAGCGCAGTACGGCTGGAACACGAACACGTGCTTGAAGCATTTGCGCGCGCAAAAGCTCGATTACGTGCTCAAAATGGTCAGTTGAAAAGCGGCTAGAAAGCACCTCTAGTGGTGCAAACACCCAACGTCGAGAGGAGAAACGATACGCTTGCTACGTCATTACTGGTACTTTGGCGTGGTGGGATTGAGATTCTGGAACGGATTCCGAACCCACGATTCGATAGGGTATCGTCTATCTATGTACATATATAGAAAAACGATACTATCGAATCGTGGGTTCGGAATGCGGGCCTTTATTTGGACAATGATCTTTGGATCTACACAGGCTATAATGGGTATAGGCTATCCAGTGTAGTGTGTAATATCCTTGGTTATTGTCACGTAATTTGAGGTTGACAGAGACAGGACAATGGAAAAGAAAATATTTTTTGTTTTAGAAAATATATTATGATGATGGTCCAAACACTGTTTCTGCTTATGCTTATCTTTTCACCATAAAAACAGGCAAGCAAAAGTAATTAAATAGATAAGATAAGCTTGAAAAATCCATAATAGTTTCACATAAATCTATTGAATATCCTTTTGTGCGGAAAGAAAAATGAGTGAACAAAGTGAGTTGTCCGAATCCCAGCTCCAAGACCTAAAAAGTCGCATGAAATTGATATCAGAAGCCGATCCAGAACAATTTCACAACGAATTTTCGTTAAAAAGGTACTTGCGAGCTTTCAAAACGGCTGACAGTGCTTTTCAGGCCATACTGAAGACAAACAAGTGGAAAAAAGAATATGGTGTGGACGCCCTCAATCTGGATCACCCAACAGTGAAAAAAAACCTGGATGCCAATAAAGCTCGAGTATTAAAACACCGTGACATGCACGGAAGGCCTGTGATTTATATTCCAGCCAAAAACCACAATGCCAATGATAGAGACATTGAAGAACTTACAAAGTTTATTGTATATTGTCTCGAAGAAGCCTGTAAAAAATGCTTTGAAGAAGTCATAGACAATTTGTGCATAGTTTTTGACTTGAAAAACTTTGGCCTTAGTTGTATGGACTATCAAATGATTAAGAACCTCATATGGCTGCTGAGCAAACACTATCCTGAGAGATTGGGAGTTTGTCTTATCATCAATTCGCCCACAATATTTTCAGGATGTTGGACTGTGATTAGGGCTTGGCTGGATGAGAAAACAGCAGGAAAAGTTACTTTTGTCAATTCTGAAGCTGATTTGTGTAGCTACTTGATACCTGATATATTACCTACAGATATTTAAGTACTAATTTTAATCCCTTTATCTGGGAGTACTAGACTTTAACACTTCTCCAAGGATTCCTAGGACTTTTTGTTTTAAGACTAAATCAACACAAAAAATAATTGATGTTTAATTTTACTACATAGTAGGTAATTATCAAGTTGCCATGTTTTTCTCTCTATCCTAATGTTTAATTTAAATGTGATAATAAAAATACTAAAATGTAGGTATTGATTTTTTTACTTATTGGTTTTTATATGATATAATTTTAATGTATCGTCTAATACCTCAGAGGGGGCACCACTTATTGGTTCTTTTCCTTCAAATGTTTTCGGGAAAGCTATCACATCCCTAATACTGGACATATTTAAAATTAAAGCTAAAAGTCTGTCAAGGCCTAGAGCTATACCACCATGAGGAGGACAACCAGAACCTGAGGAAAACGAAAATGGGCTTCTTCAATGGTGTATATTTTGATCACTTACCTAGCATATCAATAATATGCTGTAACGTATCTTTGTTAATCTTCAATAAATTTAATATATTTTCTTGTAATACTGGATCATGTATTCGTATTGAACCACCACCTACTTCATTACCATTAAGTACTAAATCATAGGCTAATGCTCTGATCTAAAATAAGACAATAACAGGGCTGTTTCTGCAAAAAACACTCATTTACCTTTAAAGGGTCTTGATTCAATAATGCTAAATCATCGGGATGGGGTGCTGTAAATGGATGATGTGCCGACTGCAATTCACCACTTTCCTCATTCATTTCAAATAAGGGAAAATCCAAAACCCACAAAAAATGTAAACCTTTTTTCCTTATTTGTAATTTGAAACTATCTTCTAGATATTTAACATACTCTAGCCTGATTTTACCTAATAACTTTCTCTAAAAAAAAAGCAAAACACAAAAATTCTATTTAAACAGTCAAATTAAAACTCACTGCATAATTTTTTGATCCATGAGCTAAAAACATTACTGAACCATCACTGATATTTTCCAATAGCGCACTTGCTTCTTTGGAAGATAACAAATTTTTGAATTTATCAGCAAAATTCTCTTTGGTCACCTTCACTTGTATCAATTTTGCTTTTGGATGCTGACTAGCTACTCTCAGCATTTGTTCTTTTACTGATTTAGTTAACACACAGGAATCTTTTAAGTTGTTTTTATCAAAAACCAAGCTATAACAAGCAAAATCATCCAAATTATTCAATAAAGAGTTTCCTTCAAATATTTCAGTACAATTTCGAAGCTTGAAATCAAAAGTAATATCTGGTTTATCAGTGCCATATACCTCCAAAGCTTCCTCATAAGAAATCCTAGAAAAATTTCTAGCGATGGTAAATTCAGCTAAAGCATAAAACAATAATTCTTCTATAAGTTTTATAATGCCCTCCACATCAGTAAAAGATAATTCTATATCTAATTGTGTGAATTCAGGTTGCCTGTCTGGCCTAGAGCCTTCATCCCTGTAGCATTTGGCAATTTGGAAATATCTATCCAACGCTCCTGCCATAAGCATTTGCTTAAATTGTTGCGGACTTTGTACTAAAGAATAGAATTTCCCTGGGAATCTAGTTGGAACAATAAACTCTTGAGCGCCCTGAAAGGATTTGATGAATTTTTGGAAACTCTTATTTGATTACTTACTCCTGGTGTAGCTTTAAATAATGTAGGAGTCTCTACATCAATGAAATGATTTTCAATAAGAAATTCTCTCAGCTTCATGAAAATCTTTGATCTGGTCCTTAAGTTTTTTTGCATTTGAGGAAATCTTATATCTAAATATCTGTATTGCATCCTCAAACCTTCTTTGGCTTTTTGAAACTCTCTTATATTGAAAGGCAAATTATCTTTGGCTTGATTCAAAATTTGAAAATCGTCTACTTGAATTTCAATCTCTCCAGTAATTTGCTTTTTATTAATCATATCTCTAGGCCTCGACAAAACACTGCCTTTTATACGAATTATAGTTTCATAAGGCATTTGCCCCAATAAATCCTGGGTAGCTTTATTAGTAATCAACAACTGTGTCTCCCCATAACTATCTCTAAGAACAACAAATTTGTTCATTCTTTGATATTGGAGCCAGCCACACAACACTACTTTCTCACCTACATTTTCTACGTTAAGTTCACCACAATTGTGTGTTCTATAAGTGTATTTGTTGGACTTTGGGGACTTATTTCCATTGCTATCGGATTCGTCTATTAAATAAACGCTTTTTTGGGGCTTCATTGTTGTTAGTGGCCTAAGGATTGATCTTGTCTGTGGAGCATAATGGCAAAAAGGGCAGTATAAAATAATTGGGTTCGAAAACTACTTACGTATTCTATGGTCCTGGCAGGTAGTATCAAATTCCATCTCAGTATTTTATTGAACAAGGTTTTTTTGAGGAATTTACTCATCTTTGAAATTGACAGAAAAAAATTGAATATGTAAACAAAACAGTTAACATAACCCTTTATTTCTTCTTCAAGGATAAACACAAAATTTTTTTTTAAAGATAAAAGTCAAAATGACATCTGTTGGCAATACAATGTAAAATTGTCAAGCTTTCAAATTTTTTATGTAGGAAAGGCTTGTGTTGCCAACATAGTTACTAAATTTTTGACTTGGGGAATTATCTTTAAAAAAAAACAAACTTTATCTATTGTTGAACACCGATCGACCGTTGTATGACGTCAATCGTAGGCTAGAATTGTAATCTACAGACTGCAACTGTCTGACTGTGCCTTCAGTACGTATTTCAATAGAGATGTTTGATGTGCCCTAAGGATGTGCCGCTAGCCTTCTTAACCCCCAATAATTTCCCGCCTCAAAGTCCGTTGTAGGTAGGACCTCAATAGGTCATACCTGGTAGTCATACCTATAGGCTAGTCAAAATAGGGGGTTGGGGTAGAAAAAATTAGTAACAAAGTGATCTCTGCGGAAATGAGTAGTCAATAGGGTCCTTATTAATCCGTCAAAAATCGCACTTTGTCGCATTGGTGGAACTTGGAAAAAAATGGCCGCCATCTTGATTTTTTTGGAATTTATTGAATATTTCGTAAAGTATGCATTGGATCAAAAAAACTCGAGAGGACTTTTTTGTGGAGAATCTAAAGTTACCTATAATGGGAGAAATTTAAAGACCATCAGCTGCAAACTTTGAATATAAAACTACAGGAAGGAGCATAACCTCGAATCTGCGCGACCAGAATATGTGGAGGTTGCATATGGCCGACTAGTGTTTCCGGTTTGGCAGTGGCGTATATTTATTCAAATATGATTGTGAATATTATGACTCACTCTTTTCGCCCTAATCCCAGTGCTTTATAATTATCACCTAAAACCGCTAATAGTTATTTACCTAACAAATGCGGAAAGTGATACTTTGCACTTTCCGCATGTGTTAGGTACAAAATTTTACCTATGAGCATTTACATCTCCAAAGAAGGGCATTGATAAAATTAATTATCGAATCAGATTAATTAATGAAATTAGATTAAATTTAGAAATGATCAAAAATCCATTTTCTGTAAAAAAAAAGGGTTTTTGATTATAAATATGAAATTCTACTTTACCGCACACTATGCGGTAAAATACACTTTACCGCACACTTTGTAGTCCACTTTACCGCATACTATGCTGTAAAGTTAACTTTACCGCACACGCAAATGCTACTTTCCATTCACAAATACGTGCGGTAAAGTGCACTTTACCGCACGCTCGTAGGTAAAATCCATCAAACATCCACTTGAATGAGGACACAGCGAACCACCAAAACAAATGATGAGTCATACTTGGAGGCTCAAAATGGCCGTTTCCGTCCCTGCGTTGTCTGTAGTGACAGATAGAAAACGCTCCTTCCTGTAGTTTTATATTCAAAGGCTGCAAACGAAAAAGTTATTGACATTTATTTCATTTGGCAACATGGAATTTTACAAAACATCTGAAAAAAACTCAAATACTTAAGTATTATTTTTTTTTTGGTGCAGAATTAAAAACTACATTTAATAGAAGAAAAATTCAATAAATTTAATGATCTAAATATTTTTGTTGGGAGGAAGCAAAAACGCATATGACCAGAAAAACATTTGGCCAGGAAACTACCCAGACACAAACAGCACACAAAGTCTTAAAGACGTCTTTTTTAATCTGCATTTTGCATTACATCTGACCGTCTGAAGACAAAAAAAAAAAACGACTATGGGCCATATTCTCCGTATTTCATAAAGCCTGGCTTAGTAGAAAAGCTCGGCTTTGTCACACAAAAAGCCAAGCGTTTCCACTAAGCCAGGCTTTATGAACTACGGAGAATACGGCCCGAAAAACTTCCATAATCAGATGTCCTAAATTCACATCTCAAGGATAACTGAACTGAGCCACACTATTTCGTTCAGCCAGGCCTAGAAGTGAATAATGGTTCATGTATTGAAAAGAGATTTGAAGACTTCTTTTAAAAATTTCGTTGGAGACGAAGAATGTCTTAGTTCTAAAGGCATGTTTATAGGCAGACTTTTGAAAGGCGTTGGGTTTTGTAACATACGTCGTCTTTAAGATGTCTTTAAGACGCCTTAAAGATTTCCCACAGAATTCGTTTTTCATTTAATTTTACAAGTTACTTGAAACCATTTAGAATCCTACACAACACTTTAGAGCTTCAATAATAGGCCTTTTCGAAAGTTCAAAACACTTAAAATTCAACTCATAATTTCCAACAGCATTGTGTAGCGCTTCAGAACATTTTGAAAACTTCAGAACCATTATTAGAATGGAGTATTTTGGAACAATTTAGAAACTTCAGAGATATTTTAGAACAATAACGATTCAATTTAGAACTGGAGACCTTTTAGAATGCTTCTAAACCAATTCAACTTCACTTTGGAACATCAATAGGGCTCTAAAATACTTAAAAATCTGTCAATCTGTCAAATGAACATTTTGAAATTTAACATGGATCCTTCGAAGAAGCGGACTTCCCAATTTAGAAATTACTGAAAAACTTCTAGAATGCTCCAGAACCCAGTCAACTTGGAACACTTTAGACAAACCTCAGAATTGTGCCAGAGAGCCCAATAAATAATAATAATAAAAATAAAATGAGTAATGTAATAAATAATAATGAAATATTAACAAGAAAATGTTCCTCTTTCAATTCAAATTCTTGAATTTTTATAATTTTTTCTATTCCAGGCTCTTGATTTTTCCTTACTTCTTTATCCTAAATTCTTAATTTTCTTTTGGCTTAGATTTTTTTTCCATGTTCTTGAATTCTCATTATTCCTGTATTTTAGAATGCCAGGCTTTTGACTTGTTTTTCAATTTTCAGTCCTGTCTCTTCAAATAGTTTTCTAAAATACCAAAATCATTTTTTCGTATGTTTCCGTTTAAAGAAATCAATAATTTAAGACCCTAGCGTTTAGAATAGACAAAAATTGAAAGTTATAAAATGAGTAATAATAATAAAATATCAGTTCTGAAGACGTCTTTGGGCAGACGTCTGAAAGACGTTGGGTTTTGTAACACGACGTTTTTAAGATGTCTTTAAGACGCGTTGAAGACGTAAGCCGACGTCTGAAAGACGTCCTGAATGTCGTTTGTGGACATCTTAGGGACGTCTTTAGGATATCTGTGTACTGTCTGGATAGACACTAGGTAATTCAAATAAACTAAATTCTATACTTTAAGGTTTATAAAAAAATCACTAAACCTTCACAGTAGTGAAAGAGAAAGACTGGAAACTTGAGAACATGCTTTAAACCTTTGACACCAAACTTTTCGATTATTACTGTTATTTTTTTTTTATCTCAATATAGGTATCTATCTTTAAGCCTCTACTAACAGGCATTCTTAAGTTTTATTAGAAAAATCCATACATTTCGCGATTTTACCTAAAGTTCAAAAATTTCCAGATTTTTAATTAAATTAATTCCCAATAACTTTTTTGTTTTCCAGCTTATAGTGTTGAAATTTCTTTTATTATAGGGAACTTTTTATTCTCCACAAAAAAGCACTCTTGAGTTTTTTTGATATAATGCATACTTCACGAAATATTCAATAAATCCGAAAAAAATCAAGATGGCGCCCATTTTTTTTCAAGTTCCACCGATGCGACAAAGTGCGATTTTTGAGGGATTAATTAGGACCCTATCGACTACTCATTTTCGCAGAGATCACTTTGTTACTAATTTTTTCTACCTCACCTGCATAAACCTGCCTAGATTGACTATACTACTAGGTAACAATTTTTTTCTGTTTAAAAACTTCCTAATAATCAAGTGTAGATACACAGTGCAAGCAGGTTTCCGCTTACCGGTAACCAGCGCCGACTCGCGCTTATAAGAGCGAAAAATGAATGCATGTTTTTAAATCCGCTAGAACCCTCTAGAACACAGTAAAAAGCAGGGGTCGTATTTTCGAAACCATTCGAATGCCGTTCGTATACGAAATAAGGCGAAATTCGCATGAAAATTGAGGTTCCGTATTTTCGAATCACTTTCGAACGGTCCGTACACGATTTGGTTCGTGTACGTTTACTCGAGTGGGTCTCTACCAGTCGAATGTCACATTTCGCATACGATTTTACTTGATTCTGCGCATTGTTTGGAATTTTGAAGTGCTAATTATCTTGTTTATATACGTTATATTTGTTGTTTATGTACCTACCTAAATATGTTGTGCAAATTGAAAATTGTGTTCGATGTTCGTTCTCCTTTTGACTTTCCATTCGTTTCCAAATAATTTGCGGATTAAATTATCCTGCTTTATTAAAAGACAGCTTTTTGAATGGCTGGATCGGATTATTTAATTGAAAGAAATGTTATTGATGCCCTCGAAGAATTTTGGTTGATGTGCTTACTTTGCTCCAATGTTTCTATTTTTTTTTAGCTCCTGAAAGCTGAATTTTCCTGATTTTTAGTTTTGGATGTTCCTCCATGAAGCTAATCAAATCTTTCTTTTGTTCAGCAGACACAAACCCTCCACAAACCATGATTGTTAGTTAACGTTATAAAAAACAAGGACGTTCAAGGAAATCCCAACGATTAGGTGCACAAAATTTATTTCAAGATCTATACCAACAGAATAGACTAAATAATACTTGATAAACTCAATGGATAAACTCAATAAACAGCCACAAAATACAAAAAAGAATTAGCCTATCCAAAACACGTAACTTTGACAAGCAAAATACGGCCGGCAGAAGGAACACGAACTACTATTCACATACACTATTTAAATACGCTATTTCTAACATAAATGCAACAGTTTTAAATATAACAACGTAGATAATTCACAATTAGCAACTCATAACACCATTTGATAACACCTAAACAAAGAGTTGTTGTGTGCCTCTTGGCAGACATTTTCATTTAAGTTTGACAGCATCTTGGATAGTCTATAGGAAAACAGCAAAAGTAGGGAGTGTTATGGTATTTTTAAAAAGCCAAATGTCAAAAA